TAGAACGAGCTGTTTTAGGTAGGTGTGGCTGACTCTTAACTTTTATAAAGAATATCTCTTTGGATTTGAGACTTTAGTCTTTGCAACTTTACAGATCTTCTTTATGCACCAAGAGCTTGTAACACTTCAAAGAGAAAGGAAAAATTGAAATTGCATCATATGACCCCTTTAATTATTTGGCCTGATTGTATCAGATTTAAATATTTAATCAAATCACCATATATATATATACACCTGATAACATTATTAGTTTATGTAAGCCCTACTTTAACATCTGGATGTTAATGATATGGATACATATTAAACCATTTTTGATCAAACTTCTCTCCTAACCTAGAAGTATTCAGAAACTACTGCAATTTATGCAGAATATCGATAGGTACCAATTTGTTTCACTGCACTAAACTAGATGGACGACTTTTTGGCAAAATTGTTGATGGTTGTATTTACTCTAGGACAAAATCTACATGTATGTTTCTGGCCTAAAGCTCAAATCTTTCAAAACAACAGATCATATTGCATAATGCTATCATTACAATTAGCTAGCCATATGCAGTTAGGGCCACGCTAGGGCCAAAGTACACGTTCAGTAAATGATAAAACCTATTTACAGGGTGACAAAGTTCAGTTTATAGACCACATACAATTTACATTGCAATGCTACAGAAAGGAGCAATACCAACTAGTGCGAAAGCATGACAACCTCTTGTTTTTGCCCCAAAAGGATTCCCTGCATGGTACAACCATAATCAAACTATTCAACACTTATAGAAGCAGCTAAACACCGCTTTTGGCTATTCACGGGTCAGGCATCCATTACAACAGACAAAACATGTGCTATTTTTTAATATAGGTCAGTTAAAATAGGCTATTTTGTGCTTTCATTAAATATAAACTACAAGTCATGTCATTTTAATTATAGCCCATGGGCAAAAATACCTGTTACCTCTATTAAAATAAAATGATATTCGCTTTAGGGCTGCGTTATCTACTACTTGATATGCCACATATTTACAGTACAACTTGTACAAAGATATTTCCAAGGATGTGTCATTCTTCTGAACTAAAAATAACTGTACCATAAAGCTTCAAGATAACTCAGCGAGATCCTCAATTAAAGTTAATTTATAAGCCACATCTTGGATGACTTCTCTCTCTTTATAACTCTATTATCAATTTCTAAAAACTTCAGACAACATCTGCAGCCAAGGTTGTTTAATGTATTTCTTCTTTATGTAAGCTCTTTATGTAATTTCAATTTCATAACATTGATGTAAAACCAGGCTTCCTTAGATTAATACAAGAAAAGAAATATAAGAAATGAATATAGGAAAATATGAATGCGTAAAGATCTGAAATGCCACTCTGTGTTTGTCTTCGGCCGGCTATGTATGTGAATATATGTTAAAACGTCATTTATTCTTGTGATCAAAGCTGTATTTTCAGCATCATTACTCCAGTCTTCAGTGTCTCATGATCCTTCAGAAATCATTCTAATATGCTGCTTTGCTGATTATCAATATTTAAAACAGTTGAGTACGTTTTTTCAGGATTCTTTGATGAATAGAAAGATTCAAAGATCAGCATTTATCTGAAATAAAAAGCTTTTGTAACATTATTAAATTAAAATTAAATGAAATGTATGCATTTACCAGACGCTTTTATCCAAAGCGACTTACAGTGCATTCAGGCTATATATATTTTCTACCAGTATGTGTGTTCCCTGGGAATTGAACCCACAACCTGTTGCGCTGCTAACACAATGCTCTACCACTGAGCCACAGGAACATTAACATTATACACTACACCATTCAAAAGCTTCAAAATCTCTTTTGAAAATGTATATTATAGACATTTAAATTATGGAAATTATTACTTTCATTTAGCAAGGATGTTTTAAATTGATCAAAAGTGATGATAAAGACATTTATAATGTTACAAAAGATTTCTATTTCAGATAAATGCTGTTCTTCTGAACTTTCTATTCATCAAAGAAACCGGAAAAAATTCTACTCAGCTGTTTTCAACATAATAATAAATGATGAATTTTTGAGCAAGATCATGTGACACTGAAGACTGGAGTAATGATGCTGAAAATTCAGCTTTGAAATCACAGGAATAAATTATATTTTAAAATATTTAAAAATAGAAAGCAGTTATTTGAAATATTTCAAAATGTTACTGTTTTTGCTGTATTTTGGATCAAATAAATGCAGGCTTGGTGAGCACGAGAATTCTTTAAAAAACATTAAAAATCTTACTGTTCAAAAACTTTTGACTGGTAGTGTAGCCTA